TACACTAGCGACCACGAGACGACGACGACAGTACCGTAACCGAAAACGAAACGGACGACGACGAACAACTATAGACACTATCTCCCTTCCCTTCTCCTCACAACAACACTCTCTCTCTCTCTCTCTCTCTCTCTCTCTCTAGAATCTAGAGTCTAAATTCAGCAAACGGAACCCAGAAAAGCTCTCTGTTACAAAAATTCTCTCTTTCTCTATCTTAATTCACTGAAAGAAGGAAAGCACAGTCTCTCTTCCCCTCCCCTCCAAATTCTTTCTATTCCAAATCCCTGAAAAAATAAGTGAATTTAGACAAAAATTATTTCTTTCTCCAGTCCAGCAAAGAAAACCAACTAAAACTACTGCACCATCAAACACAAACCAGAAGTGAATTTAGAGGAAATGGAAGAAAAACAGGGTAGCAAGTGTGACAGCCATACTTCTTCTGTAGTCAATATTCAATTCTCAAACAATCCTTAATAAATAAAACAATTACTTTTACTGCTATACTTTTGCCTTCTGATACTGAATCTCTCACTCCATAGAATTCATTGCCGGAGTTCTCTCTTGGACTTATTGGCCACGTCAAAAAGATTCGCTTTTGTATCTTTTGGTCTCTGTCTACGATACACAGTATATCTCTTTTCTTTTTTTTTGTTGAACAGTTATATATTTATTTCTTTACACGAATCTCTCAAGAATATTTTTTTTTCTTTTTTGTTGAACAGTTATATATTTATTTCTTTACACGAATCTCTCAAGAATCATATTCGACTGGAAGGTACAGAGAGAATATACCAAAAGATTCATATATCTTCATTTCTTTACATCAATCTGAATCTTTTGGTATGATTCTTGTTTCATGCGGGGGCTGGACGGCATTTTTACCGATGCGGTGCAAAGCATTCAATGCAAACAAGTATTCCATCCAAAAACAATGAAAACTAACTGTCCATGTTTTATTACTAAAATTATTATTTTTAGTTTTTTAAATTTATTTATTTATTTATATTCATAATCTCCATACTCGAGATTATATGTCTTTAAAAATTAAGTCTTAAAATATATTTCAAAAATAAACTTATTAAAAGCCCGACGTTTCTATATGCTTGGCCGCATAAAAACTGGATCCATTGCATATTAAGTATCCCTCTTTCTATTCTTTCTCTTTTTAGAACAATCTTTCAATAATTGTCTCATTTTTTATAGAGTTTCAAACTCAAAGATTCCCACTTCTTTAAATCCCTTTAATAATTAAAGCATTATTTTATGACACTTGTCCCTTTCCCTATTTTTTCCACTTTCTAACACAAAGGTTTTCACCTCTTTTAATCTCTCCATTAATCTCCCTCTCTCTCTAGCACATTTGACAAGCGGAGTTTTAAGGAGGGAAAGGGAGTCTCTCACAAATTATGGAAGACCCCCTTCCTTCATCTGTTATGGAAGGGAGGTCTTCTAAAAATCGATCAATTTTGATGTTAAAAAAAGTGATGCAAGAAAGGCCGCCCCTTCACTTTTCAGCCTCCACATTGTAATATCAAACGTGGAAGTTTGATGTTCAACTCCCACTTATCAGATAAATTTCTCTCCCACTCTTCTTTTCACTCCCCTCCCTCTCCACTCTCTCTCCCACTCTCTTTCTCTCCCCTCACCCTCTCTCTTTCTTTTTGTCTCAATTTTTCTCATGCTCTCTCTCATTTCCCTTTTAAAATCTTTATGTCTCTCTTATATTGCCATTTTTTTGCCAGCTTTGTAATTTTTCTCACGGAATCTCTCCTATTTCTTTTCTAAAGTCTGTTTATCTCTCATTGTATTTTCTAGCTTATTTTTTCTTATTCTAATTTTACCATTTATTTTGCCAACTTGCGATTTTCGGCCAACGTATCAAGTTGATGACTAAAAATCGATGAGGGGTAAGCCCAAAAGCACATGGTTGGAAGAAGTGAGAGTAGATATGAGGACATGTGACATTACTGAAGGTATGACCCTTAATAGAACAGAATGACGGACCAGGATTCGTGTAGTCAACCCAATTAGTTGGGAAAAGCCTTCGACGATGATGATACCAGTTAATCATAGATATCTGGACGCCGATGAATTTTAAATACCAACCTTTAAAAGGTTAGGTAACAAAATGAATTTCTTTTATTTGTAATTTGGTACTCTATCTATTTATTGTCGTCTCATGTAACCTAATCGTATTTTTATTTATTAAATTTATAAATTTAATTTATTGAAATATCATTCAACTTGATTAATTAAATTTAATAACCCCAGGGAGCTATCATTGACCATGAAGAATATCACTTGGCTTGAGTAATTATGGTTCAAGAACAAAATCATTCTAAGTGGATCTTTAACCTCATTGACCATGATCTCTAAAAGTCCTTTTAAGATGGTCTTTACCCTGAGAGAGAGAGAGATATGGGGTAGACAATTATTGGGTGGTGAATATAAGAGGAGGGGACACAGAGTGTAGGTTAGATAGAGAACTGAATAAAGAGCTGTGGTAGAGGAGGGAGAGATAGTGGATTTGTAAAAGAGTGAAATGGAAAGTATATGGGCAGTTGTTGATAGAGAGGGAGAGATGATGGGGGGTGATTGCAGTCAGAGCTCTAGGCCATGATGGTTGGGGTGGTGTCGTTAAATGCGAGGAATGGAGTTCTATTTTCCCAAGTCCGAAGATAATATTAAAAATAGGGGTGAGGATGGGTTGGATCTGGTTTGGATCCACTGGAATTAGATTCAGATCTAAAAAGTATACTTAAAATCCAGATCCAGGCCCGATTGGATTCAAAAGAATTGTTATATATATATATATATATATATAACATTTAAAAAATTGGGTCGGATCCATATCGGATCTACATGTACCCAAGTCCAATCCAAATTTTGGATCCGGATTCAACCCGTCATATCTACATCTTATACCCATACCCAGATCCGTATAAAGTCCAAAATTTGAGTTTCAAATCCAAATAGGATAAATTCTCCACCCTAATTAAGAAAAAAATAGAGAGAGGGAGATTTATGAGACAAAGTTGAAAGAGATGTATATGCCACTCTAAAATAATCAGACGCGGATATCTTAGTTCTTATTTCTCCTTTTCTATGTTTTGGACCATTTAATATGAACTTAAGAAATGGTTAGGGTTGGTATTAGGCCAAACTTAGGAAGAGCTATCCGAACCAAACATAGGTCGGCCCTAACAGGGCCAAGGCCATGCCTGGGCTAACGCCTCTTTGACCTTGTCAATGCCGGGATAGCCTTAAAGCGACTAGGACCCATGGCGAGCCCTAGACATGGTGTTATCATATTCAACAACCAATCAACCAAAGTCCAAGGCCGATTCTTAATCGCAAACTTTACGAGTGTGCTTGATGTTGGGTAATTTGTCGGAGTGATATGCTCACTCCGACAAAGTATGGAAGAATCTCTTCTATCTATTTTGATGGAAACGGCAGCTTCTAAAGTGGGCCGCATTGCATGTTAAAAATTCGCCATGTTGAAGCAGCCCTTCTACTTTGCGGCTTCTACGGGTGTGCTACTGGTATAAAACGTTGAAGTGAGACTCCCACTTCCAAAAGCTCCCATAAATCAAACACGCCCTTAGAGATTTGGTTGTTAAACAATCTCAAATAGTTTTACTCGTTAAAATCCCATTACCAAAAATTCGAAAGGGTCTCAGGCTAGGAATAGGCGATTGATGTTATGAAAATAAATTTGTTTCTAAATAAATCACATATCATGTCCAAGGTGTTCTATGAATTTGTTCAATAGATTTTAAACTGGCACGGATGGATGGATGGAAGATTATGAAAGATAGCTAAAAAGGTTGTTTAATCAAATACTAAAAAATCCTACAATTAATAATCATAACCTCAAAATATATGGATATAAAGCAGGCAGGAACAAAGAGATTTCAGGGCCTAAGAATCAAAATATATACAATGACAATATTTACTTGTGGTATAGGAAGATCACAGTAATTATTTACCTTTAAATGTGAAGGCATGTGTTGGGGATGTGTCATTCTATATAGCACAAAATCAAAAATAAATTTTTTTAAATGTTATGACATATTTCAATCATCAGATTTCACAATCAATGGTTAAGAATGATTGTGATCTTCTTGTACCAAAAATAAGTAGTTTTATAGCATGCAATCCCATATAAAATATACTAGAAAACAAGTTGCCCATTTGTTTGGGCAGTCGAACTAGTCAAAATGGTTAGTCGGACGAATCAAAACCGATCAAACAAATTTTTTGACTAGTTTTTTTACTAAACTCGATTTTTTACTCTAGACTACACTGGCCAGGGCAACGGTCGGTGGTTCAACTAAGTCAGATCACTAGTTCAATCTGGTTTTGATAACTATGCTAAAAATAGTACATCTTGTAAAACGACCAACAATTTTCAAGATTTGTTTAGTATTTATAGTACGCTCAATATACACCAATTTCAAAGCTTCAAATTATTTAGGGGTAAAAATAGATATTCATAACATTGTTTTCAACACAAACTCTTATCTTCCCATAAAAATTAGAGGTGCTCCTTTGGTTGTTGGATATTGATGCCTTATATAAAACACATCATTCACATAATATTATACTTTTTTTTAACGTTAACACAAACTTCACGTGATATTAGACTTACCAAAACAATTATTAACATAATCTTAGAACAATAGACCTCAAAAGAGCGGAGAATTACATAGCTTAAAAGAGTGGAGAAGATGTAAAATCCGAGAGCATGGGTGTATCATAAAGTTCAAACTTCAAGAAATTTATTTTGAGCTTGATTAATAGAATAAATGCAACCATTTAATTTCATATCTAACGGTTAAGATTAATTGTAAACAGTGTTTCAAAAA